TGCGACAAATGAACACTATAATCAGTGCCTTTGAACCAAAGAATCCAATGAACATTGATTAGAAAATCGGCATTAGGGAAAATCTCACGCAAATTACACTCAGACGCGAGAGAGTTGAGTGCTATTTATCAAAGTAATTTGCTACATTCTATCCATCACGATGAATTTCTTTCGGTTTTTAGTTTTGCGAGACGATTTCCAGACACAAATCAAGTTGCTGTATTCGTTTGTCCACTGTAAACAATAGGTGTTTTTGGGATTTTAGTTCTGAGAGTTCACGATGTAAGTCAATACATTTCTTTTAAAAATTCTAGGGGGTAAAATCATTTTTTTCATCTTTTATATCTGCACGCAATGCGTCAATGATGCAGCATCAAGTAATAACTTAGAAATTCAATGGTATGCATGTGCATCCGAAATATCCACGTATATTCAACAATATTTATCGTGAACGACAAATGAATATTACTGAATATACATAGATATGTCAAATTTACGTGTATACGTATGGAAAATAAAAATAGTAGCAAATAGTAGTGAATCAAACCTTCAACCGTAAATTTGAACGATTTTGGTAGATAATGGTGAATATTGGAACATTTTTTGACATTACAGTCTAATGAATATTATTGAATAACGTGTGAAGCCCCTAGTAAAAAGTATTTTGATTATTAAATACAACGATTTCGAATAGATTCTCCGTGTGGAACACTTTTTTGGAGTTTTACACATTACACTCATGATATTAGTGGCACTCGCTCCCTTCTTTTTATTCCGTCATTTTGGTGGCAATGTTACGACACAATTCGAAAGCATCGGAAATGACATCTACCAATTCGACTGGCATGCACTACCGTTGCATATTCCAATTATTTCTATAGCACAGAAGCGGATTTATATGCGTGGATACGGCGACACTCGAACCACACATTCGGTTTTTAAGAAAGTAGCTCCAAGATAATATTTTGATATTGATCATGGCCAAGACTTCAAACGTATGCATAAGTTTAACTTGGATAATGAACATTTTCAGGTTTTGAAGAATAAATACACTTATTATCATAAAGATCCAAAGATTTTGATTGCAGCCAAACCGAAACACGTTGAATTGGAGGTGAAGTAAACATGAAAATACTGAACAATATATGCGTTTCTGAATTATTTTATTTTTGAAATTAACATTCGGAACAAATTGTGTCTTTTACACATGCTAGGAAGTGGAATGCCATAATATCCAATGGATTTAGTAGCCAAAAATCGATGCTCTGTATTGCCAGTAGAGAGTTTGTTTTGCTTCAATAACGACGGAGATACGTCTTTGTCCAATGCCTCCCGAGACAACATAAGCGTTGCCCAAATTCGTACTCTGAAAACGATTTAAAAAAATTCATTATAAAAATGATAACAATTCGCTATGCATGATTTCAAAATGAACTTTTGCTATAGTCGTTATCAGGCAAATCGATCGATGGAATGAAATGTTGATCAGATTGTTATCAGCTTTTTTGAAATGAAAGTGACGTCAATATCAATATTTTACCTGTTCAGTGATGACTTCAAGATATGTGATGATCTCAGCATATCCAGACTTTGGGTAGTTCAAATTGAGACGAACGTCTTGTGGTTGAGCCCATTGCTGGCTGGCTGAGTCGGTTGCCAAAAGGCGGTCGCCTGAAAAGTTAAAAGTTGGTTTAAATAATAGTTACTAGTTTCTTCAACAAGCAGACAGCCCAACTTAATCCACTGAGAATTTAAAAAAAAAAGCTGCTCACCACTTAGACGATTTCCCAACCGGTGTGTAAGTTGAGTTCTCGATGATGGTCCGTCATAGCTCACTTCTTTATCTAATTGTTCCAACTGAATGCCTGGGTTGGCGGCCAAGAAATCGGTCAAATTTTGCACGAAATTGAATTCGATTTTCGACTCCAAAGCCTCGCCTGAACACTCAACGCAGTTGAGAGCAAGGGCGGAAACCAAACAAATGGCAAAAACGCTTAAACGAACCATTTTGTGAATTTCGCTGAGTAATTTCGTAGTATACTGTTGACTAGAAGATTTGAACTAATTTTTGTTTGAATAATCGTAGACTTTTATACATGCAATTTGGCTGTTATCAAACTGTTATTATATATTGTTATTGACCAAATTCAAGACATGAAACATGATTTATTTACTGCGCGATATAGATTATGATCAACACTCATGCATTTGTGTTCTTTTGATTTCGATGGCTTATGGCTAATGAATAATGTATTTTAAGTGTCGCACTAAACAATGACAATCATACTCCAATCGACTTATCTTGCAAAAACACTTACCCCACTGAAATAATAGCGAAGATTGATCTATAAAACACTAATTTGTCATGTTCATGACTCATTGATCTCTATTAGTATCAACTCTCAATTATTCGACGAATAAAATGTGATTGAATAATGATCACTTACACTAAATCGTTATAGCAAGCCGATGATCTACTAAAAAATACAAATCTTGAATTGAATTTCAGAACGTTTCTGGCTCCTTTTTTACTCAATGTATGGATAAATTCTAATGATTATTTTAAATTAATTATTGATTTGGAGAAAGTAGATTTCTTTTTTCTGCAATCAGAAATATGTGATTTTAATTTATATTGTTTTTTCATTGTAGAAGAACAATTTTTTTTCAACTAAAATATCGTAGAGGAATGCTTTTTTAAATTCATAATCAACAGCCTGAACTTTAACCTACAGTCAGAAGGTTTGGGTAAATAGAATTTAGACTATGTTGTTGACACTATTGTCACCATTGCATTTTATAGGGAAATAAATACTTTTGAATATGATATGCGATTGAAAACAATATTATCTTCAAAAGTGTGATGCATTTATTTATATCAAATGTTATCGCAATTATTTTTATTTATTTTATTTGCAAATGTATACAAAGTACATGAACGCCCTTATATCTAGTGATTAATTAAAATCTTTTGTAACGAGGTTTCTCAACAATATTATTTACCAAATCTTTTATGAAATTTTTCCATAGTAACATCAAAAGATGAACTCCTAGAATTGGAATTATTTAAATGAAGAATCGGTTAAAATCAATTATTCATGCCAATTTTATTTGAATTTTCTCGTTTCATTTGTTGTAACAACTAAATTTTATCCAATTTTGACGTACATAGCTATAATTATCTTCCACCATTGCATATGATGAAGTCCCGTACTCGTGAGTTCATCATTTGTATAATATTTCCCGCATTTTTTCTATCTTTTTTGAATAAATTAAAAGCGTTTTCAATTTCCGTTTTGAAATCAATTGTGCTGTCTTGACTATGTTTATCTATGAATCCTTTTAAATTTTTGTCTATACGTTTTCAAACATAAAAATCCATTGGATTCAAATCAGAACCGGAACGTGGTGGCCACATGACTTGACCGCCTTTACCAATCCACTTATTCGGAAAATAATCGGAGCTGCTTAAAAGCTGTTTTATTTCTTTGCTTTAATGTTGAGGTGAGCCATCGTGCATGAACCATATCTCTTCTCTTCTTGGAATCTCTCTGAGATATCCCGATAGTTGCTCTTTCAAAATGTGAAGATAATTGTCGGCATTGAAGTTTGAATTGAGAAAAACTGGACCAATTAATACATTCCCAACAATTCCAGCCCACACATTTTGCGCGTATGTATGATGGAACTTTTTAATTATAAACGTATGCTCATCAGTGAATAAAATATTCTTGGCAAAATCAAGGCCGTGATTCTCAAGTTGATCTGCAAACCAGCGACAAAACTTCAATCGTTTTCCACGATCTTTTGTAGAAATTTTCTGCACCGCACTATTCTTTAGCGTATCGAAATTACCATGCTCACGTAGGCACTTGCGCACTTCAGCAAACACTTTTTCATTGGGAATTCCACGTTCAGGAAACTTTTCCTGATATAGGTCACGAGCCACCGGTTGTCTCAAGTTCGCTTCACCATAACACAAATGCATGTCCGACAATTCTTCATTTGAATAATTCATTTTGTTATTTCTCTCTTCGATTAAACCAAATTGGAGTAGAAATTTAGTGCAGATAGTTAGGTACGTTACAATGATTCACTTCGCCGGTTTTATCAGCGCTACTGTTTCGCTTGATATCCAAAGTGACGATTATTATCGATTCACAAACGTTATATTCACATGGAGCGTGAATAGCACAAAGGCTTGTATCATTATAGCTGAGCTACTTGCTCGCATTCAATATCAAGTACGAAAGTGTAGTACTACACACTGCGTTTGCATGTATTGATCAGTGGTGAGCGTTAGCTCCTTATGAATTAGAATGAGTTATGTAGTCGTTGTATTGGTTCTTTTCTGCCCAGAGACGAGTAGGAGAAAATAGCATGGGTATAGTAACTGTGGTGCTCTTCACACTCATTAATGTGCAATAAATTCAGGCACTTTCAGTTTCTCGCAACTTTTTTTCATTACGAAGAATTACACAATTTTATCAGTAATGGAGTTGGAAATAAACACGGTTCATCGCATCTCGAATTGATTTAATATTTGTCTTCTTATATATTTTATTGAACTTTCATTTAAAAAAAAAAATATTTGTATAGACCTCTTCCAAGTGACTAATTCTCTAGTGAATTCAATATATATTCAGTGAAATAAAAAAAAATCAAAGAAACAGTCATAAGCCATAGCCATAGATGGAGATGATTTGACGGAAATGACGTGTTTTTTGGGCTTCGATAATGATCGATATATGACGTTGACCGATGGCACCGCCTGTCACGAATCCGCGGCCCAAATTTGAACTCTGACAAATGAAGGAGAAAAAGAAGCTGTTAGTCATAAGCACAAATTAATTAATTCTATGTGATTGAAAAAAGGATACATTTTATTTTGATAAATGCAATTTAAATGTATTTAAATGAAACTTTAAATTTTCCACAAAAACTTCTCAGATGTTTGGTGGCGGTCATACTCATATAAATTAATTTTAAAAATATTCTACCTGCTCAACAACAACTTCAATGTAAGTAACAATAGCACCAACACCGTTTCTTGGGTAAATCAAGCTCTGAGATATATTTTGCGGGAGTGTCCATTGTTGATTTTGTGTGCCAGAACTTACAAGTCGATCACCTAATATTTGAACGAAATTGAGAGGGCAAACTTTTTATAGCAAATTTTAAAATATTTCTCACCGCTGACTCGTTTTCCGAGTTTGTACGTTATTGTGACTCGAGTTGAGGGCGTTGTGATACGCGGTTGAAAATAAGGAAAATACGCATTGTGCGAACTGTAAATTCGATTGGCTTGAACACTACCGATCAAATTATTATTATTTTCCATTATTGTGTCAATTTGATTCAGGTTCTGAGTAATGTGATTGTCTTCCCAATCTTGGATATTATTGTTGGTTTCCAAACTTACATCGGAATTCCCCCAGGAAATTGCGGAATCAAGAGCAAATAAGAGCACCAAGCAAAATGCAAGAAGTGTAAGACGTGCCATTGTAATGAGCACCAACAGAAAATAAAACCCATGCTTGGCTGCTTCAGTTCCAGTATTTATAGTCAGATCTTATCAAAATGAAGAAAACTGAAATCTGCGAATATTTGACTTTCATTCGCCGAACCAATCGGCACCAATTATTTATGCCATAATTATTGACAATTTATAATCTCTATTTGCAAAATGAGGTCAGCCAAGCGGTTATTTTACTACCAAAAAGCTAAACTGTTTTTCTAACAAACTCTTTTCGCTCGTATTCTTCATGCATTACGCGAAACTATTCTTGTACATAAAATTGTGGAAGATAAATAAAATCCAAATAATGAAAATTGAGCAATAAAAAAATTGGACAGCATTTTATTTGTGTTGCAGTTTACAATTTTCTTATCATGTTTATTATCTGTAAAGCATTGCAATTCTGCAAGAAGTGCGGTTCTTTCAGTAATATGATATAACGTTGTGCTATACCATATGTATGCAATTTGCAAGATAACATCAAAGTATTGCTTTTTATTTGATAAAGTTCATTTTTAATCTTCTTGTCTTGGTTATTCAATGAAAAAGCGTAAATAATTGATATCCAACATTTGTGGCAGATGATAACAAATTGGGTTCTAATTTAAATACCATAGATTTCGATAGAATACTCCAAAAAGAGTACATCAAAAGCTTCAAAGATAATGCAAATGAATTTTTTGCCAATCCCACCATCATCCACATAACTAAAACTACGAATTGAATCCTATAAATGGAATTTTTTTCAAGAAAAATTGGATGTAATAAAAAAAAGTTTACTCAAACTTTATCGGAATATTTCTTTCAAATGCACGTTAAATGGGCAATGAATCGGACCTGTTTTGCGGTTATTTGTACAAAAGTGATATTAGCACCATTTCCATCTTCCGGATAATATTGCCGTTTGATAAAGTGATGCGGCTTTGTCCATTGATGTTGTTCATCCCATTTACTCACAACTCGATCGCCTATCGTAAAAAATCCAATTCATTTACGCCTAATTTACCCGCTGGCCGTAATTTACAGCTAAAATACTCACCCTTGACTCGAGTGCCCACGGAATATTGAATCGATATTCTTTGTACTGATTGAACTGCACTAAGTTTTGGATTATTTGAATCATCTTTGAAAATTATCTCCTTTTCCATCGACTCATGGGCACACGCAACTATACTCAAAATCAACACGGCAAATCGAAACATTTTTTTGGGAAAAAGTATAACCATCAAAAGTCTAACACAAGCCTTTTCACATACTAAGCTTTCTGATAGTCACAGCGCCGTTATTTATACTACTTCGCATTTGCTGATTGTGGCCCAGATTCATTTGATTTTAGTACAGTGGATGAAATATGAAGCAAGTTGACAGTTGAAACGATTTGAAATTGCGTCGTTGAATGGTGCCATTTCAAGGTTCGACACATTTCTTAGTTAGACTACCTTGTTCTAGATTTTATGCAGGGGAAACTCAGAAATATTCAATAAATTATGAAATATGGTAAAAGTTCATTGCTATTTGTACATTTTATTGTCTACTTTCGTTCAACAGAAAATAGGTCCCTTTTCAAATGACTTAGTGATTTAATCGCAAAGGTGCCGCTAACAGTTTTAGCGTATAATGTTTGTTGTTAATGGATCGAAACGCTAGTAGCCATAGATAGTGGTGGTTTGGAGGAAGTAAAGAGTTTTCTGTGCCTCGATTGTGATTACAATTTGTCGTTGGCCAATTCCACCGCTGGTCACAAATCCACGGCCCAAATTTGAACTCTATTTATTGAAAATTGAATTAGTAAACAAGCGATTTGATTATGGATTAAATGAAGTGTTTTTGGAAAAAAAATATTCAAGGCTTAAGTGCTTTGAACAATATCTGTTTTATACCTGATTTACAACGATTTCAATATACGTGATCACTGCTCCGACACCAGATCTAGAGAGTTGATGAGATTAGTTTTATTAAATGACTAACTTCAATAAATTATCGAAAAAAAATCACAAGTATGAGATTACCGTGGGTATGTAATATTCTGGGTAACATTTTGTGCGACAGTCCACTGTTGATTTTGCGAATTTGTAGCAATGACACGATCACCTGGATAACACTCATTTTCATTAGAAAACTTTATGTAGAATTTTCTCTCTTTTTCATTTTCTTCTGATTTTTTTTTCTTCATTTTTTCTCTTTTTTCTTCTAAATTTTTTCTCTAAACCAGAGAATCATTTCAGCATAGATATTCAATTTTCTGATGAGATCTCA